TCGAAAGATAGAAATTCATGATTCCCTTTATTAAAAAAATGCAGATTTCACGAATTGTACTGGCACTTAAAAATATTCTTGATCTTGATATCTTGAAATCTATAATTACATAGCATTAGGAAAAAAAATGAGTGGGTACTCTCTTTGATCAGCAGTACTAGCGTTCAAGCAACAAACAAATATATTTGGAAACCTACATTTGAAAAGGCCATCTTTTTATGAAATTTGTAACTTTTAACAAAGTGACAAAAATTCCAAAACACTAAACATTACCTCAAGAATTGAAGACACGATTAAGTGTTATTCGGGATTTTGTTACAGAAATCTGCCGTATGTTATCAAAAGGTAACATTTTTTCGAGGAACTTTGAAAATTGTGCCTCGGGTGAGGTTCACACAATTTTCGTTAGAATAAAAAAAGTGCAATACGTTTTTTCTTAGTAGATTAGCATAGTTTTGTTGCAAAATGGTACCGGTTATGTTTTCACCTTTTAGCTCGTTTGCCTACACGCTTTTCTATGAATTCTGGTCGGTTTCAGTTCAGAAGGGCGCGTTCTGCAAATCTAACACAACAAACAAATAAAAGGGATAGTGAATAGCGCTGCACATAAAATATTAGGACATAGGTAACGTCTGACACGGAGGCAATCGGATACTGAAACCGTCATTACGAATCAATAATTCGAAAAATTTTACACTAGCAAACGCAAAATTTTGATAGGTCACGGATTATCCTTACGATTGTGTATAGCAGCTCATAAACGTGATGTTAAATTGAAGAAACGTACTTTACGATGCACAAATAACTAAATTTCTATTCAATAGCAGTGCAGTCTCATTAATTCAAAATGTAAAAAAGCTCATGAGACAATGTAAGTGGGTCCACAGGTATTGGCAGTATCACGAAATTAATTTCACTGGATTCTGTCAGTAAGGTAGAAACTCATCTATGACGTGCTTCAATTGATGAGATGAAACTTCCTTTCGCAATACTTATTGAGCAAATCCAAAATTCGGCTGAATCGTAGTAAGCCATAAGTAGAATTCATACCGAAAAACGGCTTTAAAACTTGTAAAATATATCGGTCACTGTATCAGCGAAGCGCCGAAAGCAAAAAAAAACAAGAGAAAAGCTTCACTAAACTCATACAGCACCAATAAATCCCAAAAAAAGGCAGACAAAAAATAATAATGGCGTGTATTCTTTTACCAGAAATGGTCGAATGTCGTCCTTGTAAAAAGAAGTGCGTGCGCCGAAAGAAATTAAAGAGAACTCTGCACGACCTCGTACGGCGACACAAAGAACTAAAGTAATAAGAAATCTATACTAAGATAATAACAAATTTATAGGAATTAACATACATCCAAAACTAGTGGATTACAACGGAAACATCTACTTGGCGTAAGAATATAAATAAGAGCAAGAATACTACATTTGAATTACGAGCGAAAAGAACAAAACAGTTTATAATTGAACACTCTAGTTTTCGTGATCACAAGCTAAAAATCTAAAGTACAATTTGGGAGTGGAAGAGTCGCGCACAAAAATTTGCGGTCTTAGATTTACAGGACATTAAAAGTTTTTCGTGATTATAGGATTTGACTATTGCATGCTCATTTTGCTAATTGTTACGATTCACCGATTTAAAGTTACGAAATGTTCTCAAATGTTCGCATTTTTTTTGGAAGTTTTTCAAGTAAGTATGTTCCAAAATTAGGGAAGAAGATTAGGGGGCCAAAATATCTCCAAGTTAAAGTGGAGGGTGCGAAGAAATAACGGGAATGAATTAAGGAGTTAATGCCCGAGGTGAAGGCCATACGGGTAGACCAAAAAGACGACCAGGAAGAGATACGCCAATTAAAAGATGAGAAATAAAAGGACAGAGAGAATAAAGTCCATAGAAGATAAAATGGAAACCATGGAGAAACAACAGACGAAAAACAACACAATATTTAAAGGATACGATCTGAAAGAGAAGGATGAATTAAAGGGAGTTGACAAATTTATTTAGAGTGTGTAGAAAATAAAAGTGAAAGAGGGAATATATGTAAAATAATGATAAAATAATATATATAAGATAATGAAAGCAAAAAATTAGTTGAAAGGAACCCAATATTTCATTGACCACGACCAAACCAGGAAAGAAGCGAAAATACAGAAAGAACTACGAGATATGGCAAAGAAAGAGAAGCGGCACACGGTCAGACTAGCTTGGTTGTACTCGAAATCAGAAAGATTGGAAAATTGAACTGATTTCCCCCCGACCGCTTCCCCTCAAACGGTTAGGAGAAGCACAAGCGGGAAGAAAAATGAGTATAACGAAAAGGACAGCGATACGGAAAAATAAGCTGAAGAACGGTATCACAGGTAGGAACCTGGAATGGAAGGGGGGCGTGCAATCCAAGGGCCAATGAAAAATCTAATGGCAGAACTATAGAGGTACAAAATATATAATAATAAATGCATTACAGGAAACAAAACAAAGCGGAACAGGAATAGAGGGTATGGGATAATTTATACATTTTAAGAGCGCGAAGAAAAACTATCAATCAATTGACCACGTGACGATGGAATCACAACATATCAGATCCGCCAACGACGTAAGAAGCTGTGGAAGAGTAGATGCTGACAGATTTTTTAGTCGGAGTAAAAATGGAACAAGTGAAGCCAATTGAAAAGGCGAAGATACGAGGAAAAGAGTGACGTATAACAAAAGCAAACTGAAAACGGAAGAATGTATCGAAACATATAGAAAGGGGTTGGAAGAGAGCCTGCGAAATATAGAAACAAACTGGAAAAGTATACAGAAATTAATAAAAGAAGCGAACCACAAGAATACCCAAGAAAATAAGAGGAGATATGAAAGCAGCAGAAAAAAAAACAAAAATATATGCAGAGAAAAAAAGAGGAAGAGAATGGAAGAGGAAAACAAAAATTGGCGGAAAAGTTAAACATTAGACATTTTTAGGAAATAGCGAAAAGGCTAAACTCTATACTGCATACTGGGCAACAACCTGGTAAACTTAACATACCCACAAAGATAATCAGCCTACAAAATAAAGATGACGCTACAAGAGGCGAACAACAAAGTAAGGATGTAACCTTAGTAGCCAGAAGCAAGTAGAAGAAATGCTACGGCAATTGCAAAAAGTTGCCAAGCTATGGTCTAAGAATCAACATGGATAAGACAAAGTATATGGAAGTGCAAGAAGGAAAGAGAGCAGCAGTGAGAAGAGCGTCGAAATTTAATCTTCAGATCGGAGGGCGAAAACCTGACTGAAATAGAAGCCGTGGAGGACTTTAGGAGTAATCGTATCCTTACTAAAACAGACCGAAAAAAGCTGGAAATATGAGAAAGGAAAGTGCTGAGAAGAATATTTATGTAGATTTAAATTAAAGGAGAACGCAGAAGAGGTGATGGGCTTGTAGGGTCAATCATCCATGTTATGAGTGTTTAAAAGCCCAAGGGTGCGCTGGCTGGGTCATATAAGGAGGCTAGGAAAGGAAAGAGCAACAAGACAAATCATGCAGGACGAAGTGAAGAGAAGAGGGAGATCGAAAAGGAAGTTTATAGATAGCAGGACTTGGACTTGGAATATTAACACCTTCAGGATATTTTGTTTTTAAAGGTCAAATTCATAGGGCCTTAACCTTTAAAAGAGCTCTAATTTATATTTCAAATCCTTTTCAAATTACACGTGCACTCTTCCATTGTTTTATAAGCAATCGGGTGAACCACCTTTGGTCTAGGGAAGTTCCTAAACAGAAATAATGTTATCATGGAACAATCTTCACACTTTGTCCCACAAAATGCCAGTTGTTTTGTAAGAAAAAGAGCCCTATAGATATCATTTAATCAATTAAGGCACCTCATTAAAATTTCGGCAAGTTTCTAGGGCGAACTGGGCGTGTTTTAGTCGACACCTGTGAATAAGTGAGTGGCCATGGCTATTCTTCCCTTATTGCTAATTAATTCATCTAATTAAGCTAAGATGATTTACGCCGTTCTCGTTCTCGTCCATAACAAGCCGCTCTGGGCGAGCAAAAAAACAATAATTAACTTAATTAAACTCGTTCATTATTACATTGAACTGCTTCCTAATTCATTCCTTTGCAGGTGTTGGGGTTGCTATATTTAATAATAGACCTATTAGAATTTAAATTCCCCTCTTGTGTACTATTCATCCACCGACTTCGGTTAATGTAGAGCGTCTCTTTTTTTCTGTTGCGATCGCGGATAATTTTCGTTTCCAAATTAGCTTACGCAGTTATTACAAGGTGTCAGCTTTAACAATTCGCACCTAGTTTAATGTTGAATAATTGCACCTAAATATGGTAAACATCTACGGTATTTAATCTCAATATTTCGGACCCTTTTTCCAAAGCGCAAAGCTCCTGCTTCTATCTCATTTCCGAGATAGAAAAGGATATTTAATTTCAGTTCATCGACAAACAATCACGTCACAGAGGGCGCGAGGAAAAACTCTGCCAATATTCTTTCAATCAGCACAAAACATGTCTCATCCAGGCGAAAAAATGATTGAAACGGTTTTTAAAAAAAAATTGTATCGAATACAGGAAATATGCAGGAAAATGTCAATTATTTACCGGCATGTTACTGTCATATTTCGCAATAATTAAAGTTTGTTTCCTATTTCCAAGGAACGCCATCCTCACTCGAATTTTTTATATGGGTGTGATTTACATTTGAATAATCAAATATTATGCGATAGGGAAACGATTGATTTGTTTACAGAATGCTTCATGTTTTATCACAGAAAGGAGTAAGGGCGCTCCTAAATTTATTACAATAAAAGATATAGGTAATAGAGTGTCATTCGTGTGTATCAGGTGCGATTGATAACTAAACATTGTGAAAAATTTTTGAATGCGAAGACTCAAACATTTGTTTAAATGATAATCATATGTGATTCTCGAAAATCAACCTTATGCGACGATTGTCGATGACTATTATACAATATTTAGGTGTGCTTGTATCGATTTGTTAGCGCGAAATGTGTAAATTGTCCGTACCTATTGGAGATCAATGTAGTTAAGTGACACTGTTTTGCAGGTTCCCGAAAAATAATGCGCCGTTCCGGGAGGTTTTAATTGTCATGACTACAAGGTAAGTGCAGGTTTTATTTTACAATTACACTTATCTACCAGTTTAAAAATTGCATCGATACGATAAATTTTTTACAGTGCGTAACTCTACATACTGTGTACAAACAAGCACACCGTGCTTTTAAGGTTAGCCCTTATCGAACATAAATTTTTATTATTACCATTGGACACGTAAAGTTACAACAAAACAGAATACTCTGAGGAAACCAAACGTGATGGATATGACCGATTGTATTATTCGTGCTTTGTTATCGTAAATTGAACTCTTGAATTTAACTTTTACACAAAATTTATTTACCGAGCCAGTTTGTGTCATTGTCCCAAAAAAATTTAATCGAGTCCTAGTATATCTTAGCAAATAGAGGGGAAGAATAACAATTGCGATTGGTTTTTTGTACAACTTTATTCGTATGACAATGGAAACATTTGTGCACTGTGATTTCTCAAAGATTTCCTTCAGGTCTTTTTTTTATTTTTCAAGCTTTTCTCTGATTTTCTCATTTCCTTTCAAGATTTTCTCGAAGACAGGAATAGTTTGTTAGTTTGTAGAGGAAGAATTTCTTCAGGCGATCAGATTTCGACAGTTGGGTAAATTTCTGGGCTACGATCAAGAAAGTCTCTCGCCGAATGAAACTTTGAGACCGTATAGTGAGTCAAATTGGTAAAAGCAACCTTAGCTGAAATTCCACGCACCTAAAAACAAAAACACAAAGTATAGCCATATAAAAATCACTGCTTCCTTAATAATTTCCTCAAGACTTTCCAATTAGTAGTAGTAGTCAGATCTCCCTTTGATGTTTTATTTAAGAGGATACAGTGCACGAGCGCGGTTTCGTACGTGGATAGCAGTATCGAGTTTGCTATAAAAAATACCCCCGTGAAGAAAGTTTGGTTAAACTCAAATTATTGTTTACCACGTAAATACAGCAAATGAATCACGTTACTCCATGGTTTTTTGCTAATTTATTTGTAAAAAGGGAGCTTTTAATCTCACTTTGGCTGGCTGGCTGGCTGGATGGCGGCAAATTCAGGCCAAGTAAACGAACGCTTGTAGAAAGACTAGGAGTGTACATCTAACAATCAGGGTCGCGTAATTAACAACTTTAGAAACGGGGCTACATGATGTGGGGTCGGCGACTTCTGGGCGCCATCCCCGAGCGTGGTGTACTACTAACCTGGAGATTTTTCAGTTTTTTCCCTTCTACAGTTTTGGTCCGATTGTTTCCAAATTGGTGTCCGTCGGAAAGATTTTGTAAACGCACACAGGTCCTGTGTGGCGGATTTTGATTTTTTTCCTTGGGATGTAATTAACCACCTGTTGCAAGGCGCGCGTCTTCGAGGGGTAGTCGACTTTGAGTGCCCAAAACGTAACTATCTATCTATAAAATATCCGACTTTTTTTAAAAACACCCCAGTATGTGGGTACATTGACATTGTCTAACATTTTTTTTACAGTGTGCACATTTTAAATCCTTTGTGGTTTTGTGAGTTAAGAGATGCCGTTTCAGAACATGCTGGTGATGTGTTGCAAAATCACACTGTGCACATTTCAAATCCCGTAAAGACTTGTGTTCAGAACATCTTCAAGTTTATTTTAACCTAAAAATTAGCCTTTGTGTCTTCTCTGATTGGCTATAATTTGGATCTCATTTGTGGACGTAATAAGTATTTCTACACATTCCCATGATTTACCGAGTATTTGAATCACTAGCAAAAATAACAAATCTGCACCCTCATGCAGGATTACAGCCAAGAGGATGTTTTTTTTGTTATACTGCTGCACATGTTTGATGTTAAGTTATACAAAATAACCTATACCAATCATTTTTTAATTTGACAGTTGCTAAGACTGTAAACATTCATTTGATTTTACGGTTGTTTCCATTAGTTCTCTTATTTACTTTAATATAATATAATAATGTTCTTTATATTTTTTTCGATATTTTAATAGTTATTCTGTTATTCGAGACGAAGACGAATCTAACACATCAAAGATAATAAGAATCGTTCCAGCCATTCTTGAGTTCTTCCGTCAAACCCGAAGTGAGACCGGAAGTTTGAATCTGCGATCGGATAGATCGTAATGGCACACCTAAAATTATATTCAACAAATTTTTCGTATCTCACCAAATAAAAGAGATATTGAGGTGACCCTGTTATCTCGAACACACTGTATATTAAGATTTAAACAAGTATAAATTGTACACTTTTCAAACCGAAATAACGTAGTAAATAATTGGGTTATAAACTTATAAGCATGTTATATTTATTGATGTTCCTTCTTGGTAGATGATTAAAGGGAGAGGGGAGAGTGCTCTTTGACCATAAACATGTAAAGGCCGCCTGGAACATATTCAAAATTCACGCTATATAATGCAAGAAGAATCAAGCCCTTAAAGAAATTCCCCAAAATATTACATCACCAGTAGACGCGTCTCTTTCAGACGTTGCCACTTGCCCTTTAGGATGCTCTTCCGATGGTTTTTCTTTCTTTTGACGTTCAGGATCAGTATCTAGGGAAATAATTCATGGAAGAGTCCCACTTTAAGACAACACAATTTGAAAGTCGTCTGGCACACCTTCAAGGCATAGGCTACTTACTGCGAAAAATATCTCTGACACTGGGAGAATTCCCTTAAAAGTAGAAGTGGAAGGACAGACAGACAGCACATTTTTTTTATTCTTAAAAAATGCGTTAAAAATTGGGGGAGGATACTGGACCACCTCTTTTCCAACAGCTGCTCAATACTTTCTAGACCCTTACAATTTACACATTCGTAAAATTATAACCGTTCTGGGGTTCAAATATATTATCGGATATTAAATACATTTTGATCAACACCTGAAATAAATCTTGAACACCAATAAAATCTGGCATGGAAACTATCCGGGTCGCACAATGAGTTTGAATAAACACACAATTAATTAATTCATTGACAATGGCAAAATTTATTCCAAAGCACACGAAACAATTAGAACAAAATCCCTGAAAAGCTTACGAAGCTTGTTTTGGACAAAATAACCGGAATGCAGACAGTCAACAAATAAATTAGGAAATCTTAAAGTTACTTACATTTTTTTTCTTATAGTTCAAATAATATGCTCGTAAAAAGGTTTGCGATAGATACAAAAACACTCGCTGACTCGCTTCAGGAAACTTCGACTCGATTCTTGATAAATGAAATGAGAAATATATTCGGTGACTGCTCGGACGGTAGAAATTTTTACCTTTCATTAAACAGACAACTGCTTACTTTAGTCACACTCTAACTAACCTTTTCTGAATACGGACAAACCGTTCCAAAAACTTTCCACAAACTTTTAAAAAATCACATGACGATAACTTAACTTCTTCTGCACACTTTATTTCCAAACCGACGCACTGCGCCTTCAACAAAAACAACATGGGCAAACTGCTCGAGATTTACCGTAAACTCTTTTACCGTCGCGAAAACGTTACAGCTAGCAGAAGCCTCGTTTTTATGTTGATTCCAGGATTTACGGGAAACCCACTTCCACTATAAAATAATCTCCTCTCCGCGACAGTAAAAATAATCCGCAATTCTTTGAAACACCTTCTCTTCTAACAGCAATAAGAACACGTGCGCTAATTAAATGTCGTCCGATAAGAACTTCTTATCGCAAACGACCAGATGTGTGTAACTTAAAGCATCTTATCTATATTGAATAAGCAAGAAAATAATTACAAGCAATTCTAACAATATTTACGCTGAGATAACAAATTCAAATACAATAAACCAACTTTGTGCTTATTCGTAAAATAATCTCCCACATTTACACTAAATAAATTGAAATATTCTCATATACAGGATGTTTAGATTGAAATATGACGTTGTTTACACAACACTACATAATATTTGGACGTAAGTAAACTAAGAGAGCAGTGAGGGGGGAGCACCGTCTCCTAATTTGCTGGTAACAGAAAGTGAAAGTCAATGACAGCGGTGTGTGGAGAGGGGAGGACTAAATCCGGATTATCTCCGTCGCCCTGTAATAATTTTAGATTCCTACTGAAGCGGAGTCTAAAATTTGAATTTGGAGTAATGGGGAGAAGGGCGGGGGTAGATCAAACAGGATTTTGTTCCAAACAAAAAGGGCTGCGAATATTTCGAATTTATCTATTATTAAACTGTTTCTACTTGTATAGTGACGGTCATCTATACTGATCCTGACCTTTTGTTTAAATATGGATGCTCTTGTCGGCTTGGGGGGTGGTGATTACATTACGTTTTCCAGTGAGGTAGCCAAGGAGGCAATACACCACACACGTCAATGTTGAAGGAACTTTAATTTCCTACAACCATCCACTTGTACGTCAAAAGCGAATAGAAAGAATTCAATCGAAAACGTGCGAGTTTTTTGAAAATTACTCACTTTCAAGAACCTGTATCTGGAAAACGATGCGTTTTTTGAAAAAAATGTATCGACACAAATTTGTAGATAATTTTGGATTTTCATAAGAAAAACGCTCGGGACATTACACAATCATCAGAGGAGCTTTAACCACACATTTCCGAAAAAATTGTATTTGCCCTTTTTTGGCATAGAATGAGCTGAACATGGAATGACTGGACTATAATGTAAAATCAACTACAATAATTAAATTACACCTCATTTAATTTTCCGTATGGTCTAACAAATGCTACCGAGCGTTGTAGCAATTATACAACAGGGGAATTAGAGATTAATAAAATGGTTTGCCATAGTTACCTTAAGGCCATCGTTCATTTGACTTCCGACCGTTTAGCTTGTTTGCTCCGTGACTTGCATGGTTTTGGATTGTTAGTTTCATATCACCTACTACTAAAAGAAAGTTATAATTACGTTCAATACACACCTTGTAATTTGAGTTCCATCGTACGTCAGAAAAAAAGCAATTCGACCTCGCTAAATGGAGACCGAAGGTAAAAGCTCTTGTAACTAAAATAAAATTTAATCTTTGCATTCAATTTTAATGCAAACGTATTATTCGATAACGTA